TTTCAAAGGAGAATTATACATTTTCTTCGGGGGATATATGTCTCCCCCTATTCTTACTTGGATCCTAAAAGTTAATACTCGTCACAGTTTTGCGGCGCCCAACTTGGGCTTTTGTTCAAAATTTCCGAAAATTTTAAAAGCCCTACAAATCGATTTGTAGGGCTTTTAAACATGAAATTGGTTGCAAAATCGAGTTACCCATTGCATATAACACATATAGGTGTTGAAATTACCTGAAAAAATCGAAGCCCAAGCAAGAAATCGGTTGATTTCGATATTTTTCGAAAAAAAAAAAAATTCTGCAAATTTTGGAATTGGGTTTTTTTGGAGAGAATTTAGAATTTTAGGGGTTTTAGAGAGATAAACTGTTTTTTACTTTGAACGGTAAATAGCAGTTATTAAACCGTAAAGAGCATTTTCTTTAATAAATGATGAATTAAGAGAGTTTTCATGCATATTATTTTCGGAGTCAGAGATCTAATTTTACTGAATTAACGTTGATCCAAGCATATCTCACATGAGTTTAGAACACGGAGTATCTCACTTAAAGAAACCAAATTAATAATGGTCGGATTCTGAAATACTTGAAGACTATTAATTCTTAAATATTACATGTTTTTAATATATAATATACAATTTAATTTTAATAAATATTGACCAAGCAGAATATAATTTTTTTTTAAAGACAGATAAATATTGACACGACACAAAGTCACAAACTGACTTGCTGATGGCAAAAGGACTTCAAGAGTGAGGACTCATCGATTCTCCATTGTGCAACACACGTGCATCTTTCTAGTCGTAGTTGAAAATACAGATTTTAAAAAAATATACAACAAATGAAAGGCCGAATTAAAAGCACACGAGACATGACGAATTAGGAGGTTAAAGCAACATCCACGAGTAGATTGCATTTGAAAGGCTTGGAGTTTTCCGACATAGCTGTATCGACATATATTTTCACCGACTGATCAGATCTATTTACAGCTACAAATTCAACAAAATCTTTACAGACAGTTTCGCTATTTTATACAAAACAATTTTTCATTTTCACTCGGGAGAATTTTCTTCATGCCTACTTCGAAACTGCGTATTATACCTAGACAAGAAACCACAGCGCTTTCACGTCTTGTTTTGAGCATAGATTGAGGTTTGAACAGAGTGCTGAGGCGACAAGTTTTTTCCATTCACAAGCACTTGCTCCAAGAAGTCAACACGGACCGATCTGAACTGATACAACTGATACCAACAACACATATAGATATTATCATTAGTTGCATACAGATAAAGAAAAAATAATTTCAACGAAGTACGAGTTCCATTTAAACAAGGGTGACAAACTAATTAGATGCTAGCAAACAATAGGTAGTGTACCTTCTCTTTCCAAGAAAAGTCAACGTAACGGTACGAAGGTTCCAAAAGAGTGACCTGATCTCCTTCTTTTATCTGAAAGAAGAACCCGACAACTAAATTATATAATAGCAAGTGAATTCATGTGAAGGCATATCACAAGTTAACAATTGCTCACTCAGATTACTTGGCCATTGAGCAAGATAACTCTAAAATTAAAATAACAATACAAAACAAACGAACCACATTGCATATCATGTACATGTTCCATCAAGGTACAATGTGTAAGGGGTTTGTTCGTTTATGAAATGAAGTAAAAAAGGGTTGGAGCAGCCAACTTACCGCCTCACTTTGTATTCCATACACAGATAAGATGTAGCATATCTGACTTGAATCACACAGCACATAGTAACTGCAAAATTTTAGCAAGATATGAGAGAAGAATCAGAATAGATGCCTGCAAACGGATGCCGAGCAGAATTTTGAGCAGAGAGAAAGCAAACTTACAATGGTGCCACATTCTCGTGCTTAACAAAGAATATAACTTTTCCTACAACTGCAACTGCTTTGTTCAGACCTTCTAACAGACGATCTATGTTCTCTCTTCTGTATGAAGCATTCACTAGCAGAAAAGGATAAAGGTTTCAATATAGAGAATAATCAACCTAATTTAAGGTGTTGCAGTATTTCGGATTGCTTACAGTTGACACTAGTGAGTGATGATGCAATGGAAGCTAAACGTTTAACTTTTGTCTGTCCCTGTGTATCAATAATACATCAAAATTAGCTAAATCATGTCAATGGTAAAAAAAAGTACAATTAAAAGGTCTATTTTCATTTCTAAAAAACATGGTTATGGTCATAAAGATGAAAGATCTAATCTTTCACTTATGCAGCAAAAAAGGCGAGTAAATGTAAGTCTATCTTGAATCGTACAAGAGGTAGCAGGAATCACGCAAACAATTGAATATGTCTAAAGCTAATTATTGGAAAGTCTAATAATATGGTTGAATAATATTAATATACCAAATCCATGGTTACTTAAGTGATTTCACATCTGCAAACTGCAAGGTAGTCAAAATCGGGATTTAAGTGAAATCGGAGAGGGGTAGTAAAATCGGAAACGTAAAATCGGATCGTAAAATCGTAAGATTTTACATGTATTGTAAAATAAATATATTTAGTACTTACTACTTAAGAAAACATCCGTGACACAAATAAAATAAGTCATAATATACATAAAATGTCCTAAAAAATATAAAACATCCCAACATTAATTAAACATAGTCTAACATAAGATAACTGAAACTGACACTCGTTTTTTTAGCAGAAGAGAAGTATTTTCTTCCCGTCGTGATAAATTGTTATTTTAGGGCAGGGCTGAGCTTAAAAAAATTTAGTTAAAAAACTGAATTTATGAGGCCAAAATCCAAAATTTCAGCCCAATTGTTGACAAAAACCAAAATTGCCAAAATCGCACTAAAATCGCGTTTTTAACGATTTTAACAATTTTGAACGCGATTTCACACGATTTTAAGGCACCTGCAGTGCGATCTTACTCCTTTTCAGTGTCTAAAATCTTAAAGTCTTACAATTTTACGATTCAGATCTTGATTTTAACTACATTGGCAAACTGCAAGTTTAAGAATACTTCCATCAGATCAATATTCACAACTTTCTCAATCTTCCAGTTAATATAATTGCATTGTCAAAGAATAAATCCATTGTGTTAGATACTTAAGGTCAAGAGATAAAGATGGCTCACATCATTGCATAAAAGCAAAAATTATTTGTAAATTTACAAAATTAGCTAAACAGGAATCTTACTCGTAGCAAACTCTCTATTTTGTCAAGAAGGCGAACCATCTTCTGCACCTCGACCATGGAATTGAGACCAGGATCCCTCAATGCAGCAGCTTCAAATCCACTCAGGGCTCTTTCATAGTTTTCAAGATATTTGTTTACCTATATTCATATTTAACAAAAAAAAGTGTAAAGACAAGACGTTGTAGGGAATGGGGGTAACACAGGCATAAAAATAGGCGCATGGAAGAAACTATGAAAACACAGAATGGTAACCGAAAAAGTCAATTAGTGTTTGCAATGATTCTGAAAGGCATAAAGATGCTAAGAGGGAACATGTATATATCTACACACACACACAAAACAATAGATCCTTTTGATGTTTCTACCCACAAAACACTTAAAAAGAAGTTAAAGAGAAGAAAGAACCTTACAATAGCACAGTTGTAATAAAGGTCAGGATTCGACCTCATTCTTTCATCTTTTTCCTGACAAGTAAACAAATAATCAGGAAGCCTCACAAAAGCTTGTAATAAAATTGCAGCAGAAATTTTTGACAGTTTCTAAGATATTACTCACAGCATGTTGGTACGCTTTTAATGATTGCAGAAGCTTTCCATGATCCCATGCTCCAGTTACAAAAAAAGATGTGAGACACGCATTTCCAAGGTTATCTGTGAAGAAGATGAGAATACACACGCATTTCCATGGTCATGTAACAAAACTTCCAAAATACGTTTACAGTAGAATGAATCTGTAATCATAAAATTCAACAACAAAGTTAGCAAGAATGCTTGTGCATTATAATCTCTACTTGCAAAAACTTACACCAAGAGTTTCCATCCTTGACATCTAAAGTGATGGCTTCTTTTGCATGCTTTATGCTGTCATCAACAATCTTCACCTCGTCTTCAGCACCTGGAAGATTATAGAAGTCGAGCAAAATGAGATTATGTAGCTACTTATCAGCAAAGCTAAGCTCATTCATAATGAATTCGGACAAAATTGTAACCAAAAGCAACTTTTAATCTTGCCTTGAGCCATTCTTCTTTCAAGCATTGATAATTGACAAAGAATTCCTTTATTGGGGCCCTGAAGATTATATATTCAACGGGAACTATAAACAGTCAGACAACTGCTCAACTAAAACAAGTGTAGGAAATCTCTGTCAAATTATCGGGAATAAAGAAAAATGACCTTGCTTAAGCCAAGGGTTAAACAATTCTTTGCTGAAGCCAAATCACCTTTCTTCCAAATGCAGTTACCTAAGCTTAACCAAGCATCTGCAAGTGAAGGATTCAGTTTCACCTAAAGTGAAAATGAACATTAAAAGAATCAGAAACAAGAAGAAACAAAACACAAACATCAAAATCCAATAACAGGGTTTAAGCAACGAATTATCCATTCACAATCAAGAAAAATAAGTCCAATTGCACTAAATTCTTGAATGCATTAAGAGAAACGAATAAACCAAGAAAACAAGATTACTCCCATGTATATATTGGTGAATGAAAGTCTATCTAGTGGGCTAGAAAAGCAAGCTTTCAGCAAATTGGCACACCAAATTCATCCTCTTGAAAAGATGCGCAAAAATGGTCTTTGTTACATGTTTCTAGTCTATTTATCATGTTGGGACATAAACAGGTAAAAGAATCTTTCATTCAAGATTAAATTTTTTGTGACTTCAGAAGTTGGTTACGCCAAGCGACTACAAACAAAGGCTACTAATGAAATCAAGAAGCAAAGACTCTCATCTACGTGCATCCATCTATTGATTGCCTTCTAGAGTGAAGGACTATAATCAGAATTCCCCTTCCATTGGGTTATCTTGAGTTCAGGATAGTGCTGTAAACCTCATATTTCCTTATCCATACACCCAATATTGATATAAAAAGTAGAATTACAACCTCTACTTTTGTAGATAGAAAATGGAAGCTCACCAAACCGTATGATATAGACAGACTGACAGATCTTTCTCCAAGTGAGAAATCGAATGAAGAAAAAAAGCATCGATCAAAGGGGTTTCCGGGAAACTGGTCACTGTTGGCTAAGAACTATTTCTCACTAATGAACGTTCATCTCCAGAAAATAATGAGTAAATGGGGAGATGAAATCCAGCCACACCCTATTCAAGTATGCACCATTAGCAGAGCGTAAAGATGACCTGAAACGAGTCTTCTCAGAACTAAATGTATGTTACGCTAATTGCCTTTTGATCTGCTAGGATGTAAAATCCAGTTCAAAGGTTCTGTTCCTTTATTCTAAAATTATTATAGAGTCTAGCTTTAGCAGAACTGGTCTTACCAGATAGTGCTACCTTCACAGGATCTTTTTACTACAAAAATGATTTCTCCCCGTGACAAAGTGGTCCTTCAATTGTATCTACCTTATTGTGATAGGACGTCGGGGTAAGGATAATCCTTTCCACCAAAATGAAACTGACTTAGATAAATATGGAAAACCTTACGTTCTATTCAATTTATGAGCCATCAAAGCAGTGAATATCAAATAGCAATCCACCACGTTCTTCAACTCTAGGTGTATGATCCTATTGTCACTGTCCAAATGCTTCTTCAATTTCATCTTTTAAATCTCTCCCTACACTTCTGTTTGACAGAAAGGAGCAGTTCACCATAATAACAAGAGAAGTAGTAACAATGCAGTTTCACATGAGCTGAACTTGGAAGAATCTGCTTTGTACTAACCCATGGGAATGTTCAACATAATTCTTCTTATGATAGTCAATTCACAGCTAATCGGAAAGATATACTTTGATTATGTTTCAGTTTTCATCTCTTTAGCAATTTAGGAAGGACGAGCCAAAGCCTAGACTTCTGAGAGTGAAACTGCCTTCTAGCAGTGGAGCTGCCCCTACATGGCATTTTGAAATCATTTAACGGCTAGCAGTACAGGCTAGGACATTGTCCAATCTAATTGATACTTGAATACAGAATATAAAGCTTTAATAATACTGATATAGCCTTAATTTCTTGATCGCATCAACTAATTTGTGATCAATCATTTTCACTTTTAAATTAATCAAAACACTCTAATTTCTCGATCATGCCAATTAATTGATTCATATCTTTGTCAAACTATCGAGAAAACATTATTGAACTATAAAATAATGAAACCAGGATTGCCATTGCATCTGCAGCAAGGGTTGGAATTGTCCAACGAACTGATAATGCAAAACGCAGTACAGACTTAGATTTTCTACCAATACCATCAATTGATATCCGTATCACCTTCAACTACATTTCTCTTCCGGCTTTTCTTCTGCTTGCAGACAATATTTTCCTAGATACCGAATTAAGGTGTTCTCGATCTTTAATATCGTCTCCAGCTAATATTGCAGGGTATGAAAAAAGTTACTCGGTGCTAACACTCTTTCGAAATCGACACTTGAAACTAAGAGCTGATGTCTTAAGACTTATGAGCAAAAGAAAGTCACATCTAAGAAGACAAACACGAAGAAAAGCCAAAAAAAAAAAAAAAGAGAGAGAATATGAAATTCCTTTTGAAATAATACTCACAGCCTTGGAGAGATGATCTTCTGCTTCTTTCTTGTACTCAGGGAACACATCCAGTACTTTTCCTCTCAAATACTCGTACGTTGCTCTCTGCAGTGGCGTCTTCCTTTTCTCTGCATCACACACACCAACCAAACCAACCAATATGAGTTCGTGAATATTCGATTAGAAAAACCTAAATCTAAAATAATTAGTGATTGCACAATTAAACCTTGGGGAATACTATCGAGCAGTTGGAGGGCGAGATTTGATTCCGCAAGTAGTTTCGAGGCTTTGTCGTCTGGATTCGTCGGAAAATAGGTGTCTCGAATGCCGTAGAGCACATCGGCAGCTTTCGACGCATCGGCGAACAGATCTTCTGCATTTGCTGTAGCCTCGCTGCTCATATCTTCCGGCAATGGCGATAAACGGAGAACAACAACGAGAATCCAGATAGATATGTGAAGTGTTCTTCACTGTGGATATAGAAAAATTATGAGGAAGGTACACTCAATGGAAAGAAGGAAAAAAGGGGGAAAATTCTCTCTGAAGCTATGTTTTTTGCTCACTGCTCAGAGGTTGAAATTGGAAAGAAAATTTTGATTTTCGCAGATTTTGATTAGAAAAATTATTAAGGCCAAATCTCACTAATAGTCCCTCATTTTAGTGTATATTCTCACATTAGTCCCTTATGTCCTAATTGTCTCATTATCATCCTCCAACTCTACAATCTATCTCAATATAGTCCTTTGGTGTATCATTTGTTAACCTTAACATAATCTTTTATTTATTGGATGAAATATTCTATTCTTATATTTTTTTGTAATAAACTATAAATAAATTAATAAATACTAGAAAAAATATATAATCGAATTAATTCTTTAAATATTAACATAAGATCAAAAAATATATATATAAATATTTTTTTGATAGAGAATATATGTAGATGACATATTATAATTATTTAAGTATGTTTCTAAATTCAAGACATATATTCACAAAATAAATGATTACTTTTATATTAATATAAATTAATATTTCGTAAAACTAGTAGTTTTTTTAAATTGTATATTTATAAGTTATGTTTTGTTAGTTGCAAATATTATTTTTAAATTACAAACATTATTATTTATTGAAGAAAAAAAATCACAATTTATGAAAAATAATTTTAACAATGGAATATTCCATCCATTTCTAAAAAAAGATTCCAAACAAGTTTATACACCAAGGGATGATAATGAGATGAGGGATGAAAATGAGACAATTAAGAAATGAGGGACTTAAGTGAAATTAAATGTGAAGATGAGGGACCATTAGTGAGATTTGGCCAATTATTAATTATTAAGGGAAAAAATAAAGTTTCGGTCCTCAAATTTGGACGGATTTTATATTTGTTCCTTTGTGTTTACAAAAAATATATTTGGTCCTTTTAGTTGCCAAAATTCAATATTATTACTTCTCGTCAATTTTACGTTAGTACTAACGGAATCAAACGTGTGTCAATGACTGCATTAATTGAGGATCGAACGGTAAATTGACGAAAATGAAAAAAAATGTTAAATTATTGAAACGTGAATGATTAAATGTGTTTTTTATAAATATGAGGGATCGAATGGAAAAATTGGTGCAAACTTGATGGATGAAAACTGTAATTTTTTCATTTATTAACTCCGAATCCCGAAAGTTTTAATTTCAATTTTTTTTAATAATGGAATTCAAAATATATATTGGATTCCGATTTCCGATTTTGTATTTCATATTTTCATTCCAATTTATATTTACTAAAATATTTCAAAAATTCCAATGTTTTCCAAACATCAGACATAAAATATCAACATTATTATGTTTTATTTGTTGTGGGCAAAGAAAAGTTGAAATTTTCGAATTCGAGCGATTCCAATCCAACAAATTTCGATTTCCGAAATTCTGATTTTCAATTTATGTTTTGTTTTATCACAATTGAAATTAATAATAGTAATATTTTATTGTAAAAAAAAATAAGAAGCTCACGAGCTGTCGAACAATTATAATTGGGCTCGAGTTCGAGCTCGAGTTTTTGTCAAGCCAATGTGACAAGTTTTTTTTTGTACCCAATGCATATTTTATTTAATATTATATATAAATATGTATATATTTTATACTTATTTACATATAATTATATTAAAATTTGTACTATAGTTTATCGTTTACATAATAAAAGTAAATAGTGAACATAATTTTAATAATGTTTTCGGTAACTATGGAAGATGGGCCTTAAATGTGTAATTAGTATAATTGTCGACTGTCGTATTGGGCAAGATATTAAAAATTCAAATGCTAAATATCGTTTCAATTTTATTAATATCATTTCTACTTATAAAGTTTTTGATCATTTTCTATTCTGATTTAACAAAATTCAAAACACAAAAACAGTAGTCACTTTAGTTACATTTTCTTCAATCAGCTAGACTGAATGTTGGTTGACAAAATTATTCATAAATGAGTTCATTTTGAATTTTAGATGATTCAAAAAATCAAAACAGTAAGAATCTTTATTGATTCAGGCATATTTTTCTCATTCAACATCCAACTTTAGTAATTCAAGTTGCATTAGAAAGCTAACACAAACAATTAAAAATTATCGGTTTTGAGTTTAGCCAAATTCAGATTATGAAACAGTTAAAATCACGTCTAAGTCAAAATAATATTATTAAAATTAAAACGACATTTATTGTATCACTATAAAAAATCACAAACAATTAGAATGAGAAAGAAGAGGCTACTTTATAACCATTTACAAAGTCTTGCTCTCGACTTGATGATCAACTCCATAACAGAACAAATTCCAAGTATGTACCCAATGCATATTTTAGTAATTCAAGTTGCATTAGTTAGACCTGTCATTTAGCATTCCAAGTATGTACCCAATGCATATTTTATTTAATATTATATATAAATATGTATATTTTATACTTATTTACATATAATTATATTAAAATTTATACTATAGTTTATCATTTACATAATAAAAAAAAGTGTGTCTTCCCTGGTGACAAAATTTATTTGAACTAAATGACAGGTCTAACTAAACATTTGTTTCACATTCTTTATAAAATTCATTCAAAAAATGCCCCTCCATTCACAAATTCGAAATATTCATTAAGT